GAACAGACAAAGAAAAACCAAAATAAATTCTGGAACTTTGTATACTTGAGGCTACCTAATGGGGAGAGTACGCATGGAGAGCAAAGGGGCTTAATGGACTATTTTGGAGGACTGTGGGTGACTTAGTGGGGTGTGGTTAGTTAACATACATTTGAAGAAATGTCAACATTTGCCTCTGAAACATAGAAGGCATTGTATATTATCCTCATTGCCTCATTAAAAAATAATGCATTTAAAAAAATTGGAAAAAAACCCTCTGTATCAGTCTAATTGGATATTCAGATATCCAACTTAACTGTCATACTTCACTTATCATAACAGTACTGAAAACCTCTTTTCATCTATATTTTACATTTGCCCCATACTATCCTAAAAATACACACTTTGACATTCAAAGTTTACATACATTTTAAGTAATGAAAATGTTATAATTTGTCTTTTGTTTTAATAAATAAGATTTTTAATTTCATTGTCAATAAATATCCCTTCTCCATCCTGATTCACCTTGCCCCATGCTATTCCTTTGGTCTCTGATTTGAATTTTTTTGCTGTTTTCTTTTTCCTCTAATACTTTCATTCTGTATTTTCTACTATAAACAATTATCAGAGATGAAAAATAATGTTCCAATATTACTTATGCTTAAGTGCATAATGGTGTATTTCAACTCAAACTCCCAAAACTTGCATCAATGATGCATGGAAAGTAAGCTTTGAATACATAGTACAGGTTTATGGAACTGTAAAGTAGGATAAATATTAAAATTAAAAAAAATATCTAATTTTCTGTTCTCCATTTTTTAAATAACACATCAATTTATGAAAAATACTAATTCTAAACCCTTTATTTGCCTTCCTGTGTAGTATACTGTGTTAACATCTACCAAGGAATTTACAAATGAAAAACTCAAAACTTTATGAACTGTGCATATAGAGTAAGAATGCTTTCACTATTTATAAAAGTAAAACATGCAAAAGTGACTTGCCAAGCTGTTTAAAAATGACTTCACCTTATGCTGAGAGTTTTTAAAATGAAAGTCATTGTCATTCCTAAGAATAAACATAAATGTAGAGATTTGTGTAATCTTGGATAGATTACATAAAAGTTCCATGTTTCAGAGTTTAGGTGGGTGTTTGTGATAAAATGATATGACAGGTGTCAGTCTTTAATAGAATGCTTGAGAAGATTATAGAGGGATTATATAATCAAAAGCATAAATCTATTAAAATGAATGTTATTTAATATAGAGAAATTATTGAATATTTTTAGTACCTATATTTGAAAATGTGTCTTTGGTATTACATAATTCACACATGTTAAATAAACAGAAATGAGCCTGAACCCTCCCTGATGCTACCAGGATTTTTTGTTGTCACTGCCCTAATACTCTTCCTCTACTAAAACCCTTCGCCATATTGGAATGCTATCAATCATTTAAAATACTTCTATTCCTTCTGCATTTTGAGCAGCATATCTTTTGTTCATTCTTATGTCCCTTTCAACTAGCTAAGTGCTATGTTTATTAAAAAAAAAATTCTAGATTAGCTCTTAATTTGTCACCTTAAAAGCTTTCAAAATAGCTTAGTTGACTTCATGCGTGTGAGTACAGACTTTACCTATCACCCAGATGAAGCCAGTAGAGAAGCTGTACTGATAAACTTTTAGGCACAGCAGGAAATATTTTTTTTTGTAAATTTATTAATGGAATGTGAGACTGTTCCTGACAATTTAAAACTGTATTTTCTGCTTTGCAGTGAGTATATTCTTATAAAAACATAGGTCTTATAAATTTGCTTGTAAAACTAGATGACTTTTAGAAACCAAAATTAGATACGATTACTCAGTGTTATATTTGCACTTTGCCTTTTATACACTCCATTTGTTTTTGTTGATATAATGGGCAAACTCTGGATGGACCTTGGTGGGTACTTTTTTCCAAGGCGCTAATAATGATATCATTTATTAATAATCATTAGTAAGTAGTAACGAGCAAGCTCTTAGCATGCACAAATTTGTTTTTCTGGCCTGTTTCATTATCCCCCACATTATAAAGTTTCCTTCAATACTTGTGGAAACAGATGAGATTACTTTTCCTATTATAGTTATTTCTTTCTAGAGAGAGGTAATTATTGGCTAGCCTTCCTCTGCCATTGCTCATCTCTACTGGTCACTCTTATTGGAAGAAATACAGAAGGAAGAAAGGATAATAAAGATTGATTTTAATTTTTATATTTCTAAAGGTTTAAAAATATTACTTTCACTTGGGAACTTTAACTTTTTTATCAATGAAGTTTAGAATAACATTTTATTTTAATTTCAAATGTTTTTCTTAAATGAAACATTATTACTATCCTGTAATTCTTGATGGGTTCAGACCAATTGCTGAAAACACATTTAAAAAGATATTTTTAGCATTTTAAATGAATATTCCTGAAGTTAATTTAGCTTGAAAAAGATAAATATGGTAACAATGTAATATACTCACAGCTTTTGTTCTGTCATTCTCTGGGCATGTGACCTGTTATGATTATAATTTAGAGGTAAGTTTTCAGCTGTCACATAGGCACAACAAGAACGACACTTCATTTTCTTAAGAAATGCATACCCTGAAGATGCTTCGTTAATTATAATGTAAAATATGAAGCAAGATATGAAATCATGTGATATATGAAAATCAAACACCATAATGTGCCCACAGTTTCAATAGGCTCATTTGTCTTTCTGAAAAAAACATGGGGAAGTATAGTTAGCATAAGAATACTGAAGCCTGATCTTGAGAGATTACCACCTGGCTAAGAGAAATGACATATGGTTATCTTTCTAAGACTAACTTTCTATACTCGATAGAAAACTAATTTAACAAAGTGGTTATTTCTGAGAAAGGGATGTGTGGAATAGATTTCAGGGATACACAAATATGTTAACCTAATCTATAGTGCTTCATTCCTTTAAAATATAAATATGATAAAATTTTAAGTGTAAAAACTCTTTATGGAGGTTAAAAAGTACTAAAATTGATCACTATGCTTATATATACTTATATATAAGCTTATATATATGCTTATATATATATATACATATATATAAACACACACAAATTTATAAAATATAAGGTAAATTAAAATAGTGAATGCAAAAATAGAGAAGCATATAGGTAATTTCTCAATTTTATTGTGCTAAAGTTTCACAAAGGCAAATAATTTTCAAATTGATAAAATATCAAGAAATCTGGCCTAAAACCAGGAAAAATGAAATTTGTATTACTTTACTGAAGTAGACTAATAGCAGACTTCACAAAATTTGGAGTATGTATGCAAGTGACAGATGACTTTTTGTACATGAAAGCTGTAAACAGGAGGAATAGAATCCCGGTTATAATTATCATTTCCAAGTTATCATTTAAAACCTCAGTCTTAATGATAAAAGCTTAAATTTTATATGATCAAGAATACAACTAAAATATTAAGCATTAGCATATTTCATATTAAAAAGAACATGTAAGATATTATCTCCAACTTTGAAACTATGTTGATGCTTTGCCATCTGGAAAAATGTTTACAGCTGTAATTGTCACAGTATGAGTTAGCTAAAATTGAAATAGAAAAACTCCAAATAAAGGTTGCCAAAACAATGCAGTAAAAGAGAATAAGAAAAGATGTGCATGAGGATTCTTTACTGGTGAGAGGCCAACTCTGGGAGAAGGGATGCAGTTAATAATAAGAAAAGTATGGACATTATATATCGGCAGCCCTCTTACAGTGGACAACTAACCATTTCCTGCTACTTAGGAGAGGTGAAGCTGTCCCTCACAAAGCAGCTAATACCTCTGAAGGAGTATGATGAGATTAAATTACAAATAGATTGAGAGTTCTGCAAAAATCATTATTCATTAATCCATAATTGTAAACTGAGGGAAATGTGACTGGTTAGGGGAAGAGAACGTTGATTTGTCTTCTCTCCTGCCTGCCATGTTATGAAGATGCCCTCCTTGTCCAAACTTGAGGTAGGCTCCTCTCAGTCCTCTTTCTAACCAGACCTCAGCTTTGGCCCTCTTTTCCTCTCTCTAGATTAGCAATAGTAAGAACGCTGCTAAGTTAGTTTAGTGAAACTCTCCCTACTCTTAATAACTCCTCTTAGTAATTTTTCAGAGTTTGTCCCCCTCATCCCTCATTCTTCTCACTGGACTAGAAATCTCCACCTATCTTTGCTGTATATCAAATTGAACCTGATTTTTCTCTCTTATTGCAATAATCTAGACACCTATTACAATTGTCCTGATCAAGTTTTTTTTTTACTGTTTTAAAAAGTATAGTAATAATTTTTTTTTCTTTACTGCACATCTGATCCTTCTCCTACTATTGACAAATGCTGGGTAAGTCCAGCAGAGAACTCATTGGGATGAAGTGAAATATGTTAAATTAACATTTGTATCCTAGGTGACTCAAATACAAAATTCTGTCTACACTATTTACTTGAGAATACATATAGCATCAGAAGAGTTTGAGCACAAAAGAAAATATCAGGTAAAAACATAGGGAGAAATCACATTGCAACAATATTAGTGAGTTTCATAAAGAATTGGAGAAATGTATGGGGTAATAAAATATATAAGATAGTAAAAGGAGAGTGGTAATGGATTCCATGATGAAATGACATGACTCAAAACTGAGAGGTTTAAATGGTAGAATTTATTAAGGGGTGCTAGTCAGAGAGGAACATTAACCCTCCAAATGGTAGACACTAAATGACTTAATAAGAAAAGTTGCTATGGTTCAAGAGGAAAGATTTGAGAATAATGTATATGATGTAAATCTGTTACAAATTTACTAAATAAGCTTATTCAAAAGTTCTAACTCTAGGTATTACAGTTTCCTCATTCATAATAAAAACTAACATAATTTATACACCCATTTCTGTAACAAAAATATAACGGATGTGAACTATTTTGTTACTTGTAAAATATTATTATGCAACTATAAATAATCATTGCTTGTTTTTTCCAAGGGAGAGTGCAAATGCAGTCCCCCACTGCCAAAAATATTCAGCTGAGTTTTCCACAGTTGGGGAAATCGCAGGGGTCAGTACATCTGGAATGCAATGATAAGTCTTGCCTTTAGAAAACCAACTTTGTAATCATGGTATCTCCCTTACCAGGTAGGTATAGAAAAATATTACTTAATTCTCAATGAATTAGGGAACACTTGCAGAATTCTGAAATGCTAAGCAGTATAATCATTCTATCATTTTAGAAATATTTACTGGAAAAACGAGACAGCAAGGTAATCAACAAGTCTATTAAAATGTTTCAAATGAGAGATGCAGAAAATTAAAAGGCAGCTATATGCATGTAGGAGACAGATCATACTGAAGTTTAGCAACTGGTTAGAAATGAAACAAAAAAGGGAGAAAACACAGATGACTCCAGGGTTCCAGAACCTGATGCGGATGATGTCATTCACAGAAAGAGAAATCAATAAAGGAAAAGGTGTAGAAGAAAGATAATGAATTTGACTTAGAAAATACAGATTTAAGGATGTCAGTGAGAAATTCTGGCAAAAGTACCTAGCAGAGATTGAAAATAAAGCATGGTAAAGGAGTCTAGGAAAGAGATAAAGATTTGGGAAATGTTTATTAACCACTTATTAATTATTTATTAGTATTAGTTTGCAATAGTGTAATTTCCCATAGAAAGGTGATGTTCTAAATTTCCTGCCTTACCAAAGGAAGGGTGGAGCTGAGCAGAGAGAGAGCGAGAGCTATAAAGAACTTGGGAGAGAAAGCAGGAGGGAGAAGACCTGGAGGAGGTACTTGGAGCAGAGAGACATGGAAGAAGAAGCCACACTTGCTTCTGAGCCTTGTACTTGCACTAGGGATCTGGGGTACATGGAAAGAGACACTTAGAAGATTTGTGGGTAAGAGACCTGTAGAAAAACTGATAATGGCAGTTTTTATTTTTACTTGTATTTTGATTTTGCTCCCTTCCTTCCAGACTTGCCTGGTTCCTTTTGCCTCTTCTTATGGTTCCCTGCCGAAGGTGCCTCAGACTTGTGGCAAGTGGTCAGGCCTCAGTGGCTCACAGTGGCCAATCATGTTTGACTGGGCATTTACCTACAAGGGGATGGGTATCTTTGGGTACTTGATTTGGAAACTATATTCTTTCTCTTCTTTTTATATATTTCACACTATTTTGTTAAAATTTTTTTTTTCTATGGGTGATCTTACAGACTGAGAGTGTGATGTGTGTTTATGCAGTGGATGACAGAACTTAGAGAATGCAGGTTTGGGGGCCCCTGGGTGCCCCCCATTCTGCCCACTAACAAGTTGTTATGGGAGAAAAGAAAATAGACAGCTATGGAAAAAATAGAGTGAACAAATAGAGCTATGTTGATGTTGATAAAAGTCAAATTGGTAGTATGGATAATATTGAGACCTTGTATCTACTGATAATGCCAGATGATGTAGCCAACTGAAGGCAAATAATAATATTAGAAGATAGCTATATGAGGCCACCTGGGTTTCTTCTGGAAATGCCTATGTTTCTTTAGGAAAGTGTCCTATGTTATATATATCAGTTTAGGATGTTGTAACAAATACCATAAACTGGGTAGCTTAAGCAGTAGAAATTAATTTCTCATAGGTCTGCTGCCAGCCTGGTGAGGTTCTGATGACTGCCTACTTCCTGGTTTGCAGCTTGCTGTCTTCTTGCTGTGTCCTCACATGGCAGAGAGCAAAGAGAGCTCCAGTTTCTTCCTCTTCTTATAGATATACTAATCCCATCATAGGGGCTCTGCCTTTATACCCTCATCTAATCACCAATTACCACCAAAAAGTCACTTTCTAATACCATCACATTGGGACTAGAGTTTTAGCATATGCATGCAGTGGTAGGGGCACAAAATTATCCCCATTTATGGGATTGCCATTCAAAGAGTATTGGTATTCCACCAGGTGGGCAAATGTGTTCTCAGTCTTCTTCCTTTGAGGTAGGAAAAGAAAATTATGCCCATCAGGTAGGCCCATTATAATCACAAAGTCCTTATGAGAGAGAGGTAGGAGAGTCAGTCAGAAAAGATGATGGGAACAAATGTCAGAGAGGAGACATATTTGCAGATACTATGCTGTTTGCTTTAAATATAAAGGGACCAGGAGCCAAAGAAAGCAGATAGGCTCCAGGCCTTGAAGGAGTCAAGGACACAGATTTCTTCTAGAGCTTCTGGGGGTAATGTCTCTCTGCCAGAACTTCCCTTTTTGCCAGTCCAGCTATTTCAGGCTTTTGACTTCCAGAACTCTAAAAGAATAATTTTGTATTGTTTTAAATTTTTGGTATTGGTCAATAGGAATGACCAATAGGAATGACCGGGTGACAATTAATAAATACATTTATTAATATACCTGGCCCTCCTTTTGAAAGGAATTATTTCATGCCAACTAATTATCAAACTAATTATCTTGTTTGGTGATTTAAACAAGAACAACATTTATTTTTTCTTAGATAATAAATCACTAGTTCAGGGTATAAACAGCAAAGGCCCTTTACATTGAGGGAATTAGACTTTTTTTCCATTAATTTTTAGGAATACTTCAAGTGAGATCATATTTTGGGGTAACTTCTACTAAACCAAAATAAAAGTAGATCATCTCTGTTATGCATTATATTGAAAGTTTATACCCGAACATAACACAAAGTGAATCATAATAAAGAAACTTGGAAAAACAAAAAATAAATTCCTGAGGTTTCCATTGACCAAGGATCGAACCACGACAAATTCACAATTCCATGAACCAATATTTTAAAATAAAATTGAATTGAATAATGTCCATTGTAATGGAAAAATCCTAGACTAATACAGAGATAAAAGATTTAAGATGGTTTCAAAGGAAAAGAGTAGAGCTTGAAATGACTGTAATGAAGCATGCTAAAAAGCTATAAATTTAGAAGGCACATTGAATTTCTTAAAACTGATGTTATGGAATAGAAGAAAGGAAAATATAGAAAACAGGTGTTAGATAATTGAATTAGGGTAAAATGATAGGTCGTTGTTAGTGAAAAGTAAAATGGAATATTGGAAGTATTTGGGATGACTTTACAGCAAGTTGCATAATGAATAAACTACCAGAGTCTTCTAAAAAGAGTATTATCGGCAGGTATAAGTGAGATTTCATTAACTGATAGGAACATAGGGGGAAGCTAATGAGAGTAGCTCTGCGTTGTGTAAGTCAGGTTTGCTGAATAAAGAGAACTGGAAAAAATGTAATGGAATTATACAATTTAAACAACATACATTTCAAAAATTTCATACTGAGATTGAAAAATTTTTGTCAGTCCTCTAGCCAGTATTTAAAATTTAACTGGGAAGAGAAAACTTCATTTGAATAGGTCCTATGATACTCAAGTAAGCTATATTTTTCTAATATGTAAGAAATGAATTTTTTAAATGTTTAAGACAGAGGAGAAGGAGCAGGGGGAGAGTAGAGGGAGAGGAGGGAAAAGGGGGAGAGGAAAATCTTTAGGAAAAAGCTAAAATGCACACGGAATGGTGAAAAGCCTTGAGGTCTGTTGATAGAGCATGGGAGAAAGAGGTAAGGGTGTGAAAAGTTACACTTGCAGTTAGAAGTGAAGGCTTTAATTAATAATGCTGTATTGCATATTTAAACATTGCTGTAAGTAGATCTTAAAGGTTGTCATCAAAGAAATAAATGTAATTGTGTGGTGATGGATCTTAACTGAACATATTGTGTTGATCATTTCATAATATATATATAAACATTGAATTAATATACTGCAGTTAGAGCAGAAAGTAATCATCTTGCAGTCCTCTTGGTTCTTTTTGGTTGGCAAATAAATAAGCATCAGACAGACTGATAAGTGAAAAAAACTCAAAGGAAATTTAGTAATAACATATACCTCCTTATGACTAAGTAACTCATCACAAGTCTTCTGATGCCATCTCAAATAATTTAGCTAAGACAAGAGAGATTAATGGGGTAGAAAGAGTTTACAAAGGAAGCACAGTAAACAAAGGTATGCATATTCAAGTTCTGCCTTCTCCTTTGAAAAGATCAAGAGATTAGGTCTTCCTGGTATAGCCTGGGAGATGCCCTCCCAGACAGAAATTTAAATATAAATGTCTTTTTCAAAAGCAACTACCACCATCTTCAAAGCCTTGCCCATGAAATCAACTTTTTAACAAAGGTTTGGCAGATTTTTGCCCCCTTAAACTAATATCATGCTACAGACTTATAATTATGCCTCAGTAAAAAAAAATATTTAAAAAAAAATGGATTGTTACCATCATCTTCATTGTATACCCCATCACTCAGTTTTTTTCCAGCAGTTTCAGAAGCAATTAAAATTTTGCACAGAATATAGACTCCCTACCAAAACATTTAGTTCAACTTTACTCACATAGCACTCAGAAAACAGTTGCTAAAGAAAATTATGTTTGTCTTCCTATTATTTATCATCATTCTAATAAGGAATGAAATGGATTAAGAATGAGAAAACAGGGTTTTGGATTACTCATTTGGGGATAACCAGGAGTTAAATGAAAAGTAGAGCAAACTGTTGATTCCCACCCCTTCTTTCTTACTCTCTAGTAGACATAGGTGCCAGAAGAATTATATTAATCAAGCATAAACCCAATTTCTTCTTAAGTCTAATTCTGGAGTATAAAGCAATACTTTCTTGAACACGGCTTCTCTTAAGAAGCAGAAGTGCTTGACTGTGCTAGAATAGGACTTCATCCAAGATAATCCTCTGGAAAGCTGCAAAAATGGCTCAGAAAAGCAATGGGGGACCATGTTTCTTGTTTGTAAAATATTCAAAATAACTGAGTGGTTTGGGGCTGCAGAATTGGAATTTAGCAGTCTCCTGTGTTCAGTGCTGATCTATTTTTGGGCTTCTTTAAAGTTGAGCATAGTAAAGAAAATATTACTACTATCTTCTGGGTTAAAGTTGAGAAAATACGCTTATAGAATACAGTTCTGGTTGTTTTGGAAGGTCCCTTTAAAAAATTATTTGCATAAAAGTTTCTCACTATTGTTAAAGAGAAAAAAAGACCCTAACCTTTCTTTTTAATGTTTTCTATTTTTCTGTCTAATGAAGACTTTAGTTTCTTTAAAGGTAGTTTCTTCTAAATGTTTGTAGCTGACTTTACCTTTT